CACCTGGCTGCAGCAACTCTTACGCAGCATATGTTCGATTCGAAAACACACGTCGGAATTCATCCAGACGGTAGTGCGCGCTCCGGGCTTGTAAATCAAATAGATAGATGCGCCTCATCAGTCATGTACAGAGCCGAGTGGTTTCTGTTCGTCTTTACAATACTGTCAAGTAAGACAGCAAGAAGAATCAAGACTTGACGCGGCGCAAATCAATCGATAGCGCAGCTTTGATTGCAAATTGTCTACACATCGTCAGATAAGTACAACAAAACAGGGACTACCAACCGAAGATGTGCTGAAAAAAGTGTTACTCAAGGTCAGCTGGTGACGCAGTTGAACTGCGAAGTGCACATTTGGGAATGTGCTGGTGCTGACTGGTTTTGTCATCGTAACATGATCACGCCGGAGAGACATGGCATCGATCCACGTGCCTCCCGTTCGAGAAGCGAGCGCTCGACAACCAGAGCCTCATGCTCACGTGTTACCACTGTCAACACACTATTAACATACCGATCCGGCATGCATAGACCGAATCACAACAACGGCCACAACAATACGTCGTTCTTGACTTTGCTATCACGACATTCCAATCAGTGATGGCACAACCACAAACGCACAACGCTTTTTACATACGCTACAAGAGCACAAAACAACTCGTCAGAATATTCGGATCCATTTCATATGTACCACTCAGTGCACTGGCATGCAAAATCATCAACTCAATATTGGACACTGCTGAATACGAGCTTGCCACTAACATCTGGGATGAAGAATCATCCGATCTTGCAACCTAGCGACAATTATCTGTCTGTACAATCGCACCAAAGGTTGAGCTGCTCGTAACCGCCTCACCTGGCTGCAGCAACTCTTACGCAGCATATGTTCGATTCGAAAACACACGTCGGAATTCATCCAGACGGTAGTGCGCGCTCCGGGCTTGTAAAGTAAATAGATAGATGCGCCTCATCAGTCATGTACAGAGCCGAGTGGTTTCTGTTCGTCTTTACAATACTGTCAAGTAAGACAGCAAGAAGAATCAAGACTTGACGCGGCGCAAATCAATCGATAGCGCAGCTTTGATTGCAAATTGTCTACACATCGTCAGATAAGTACAACAAAACAGGGACTACCAACCGAAGATGTGCTGAAAAAAGTGTTACTCAAGGTCAGCTGGTGACGCAGTTGAACTGCGAAGTGCACATTTGGGAATGTGCTGGTGCTGACTGGTTTTGTCATCGTAACATGATCACGCCGGAGAGACATGGCATCGATCCACGTGCCTCCCGTTCGAGAAGCGAGCGCTCGACAACCAGAGCCTCATGCTCACGTGTTACCACTGTCAACACACTATTAACATACCGATCCGGCATGCATAGACCGAATCACAACAACGGCCACAACAATACGTCGTTCTTGACTTTGCTATCACGACATTCCAATCAGTGATGGCACAACCACAAACGCACAACGCTTTTTACATACGCTACAAGAGCACAAAACAACTCGTCAGAATATTCGGATCCATTTCATATGTACCACTCAGTGCACTGGCATGCAAAATCATCAACTCAATATTGGACACTGCTGAATACGAGCTTGCCACTAACATCTGGGATGAAGAATCATCCGATCTTGCAACCTAGCGACAATTATCTGTCTGTACAATCGCACCAAAGGTTGAGCTGCTCGTAACCGCCTCACCTGGCTGCAGCAACTCTTACGCAGCATATGTTCGATTCGAAAACACACGTCGGAATTCATCCAGACGGTAGTGCGCGCTCCGGGCTTGTAAAGTAAATAGATAGATGCGCCTCATCAGTCATGTACAGAGCCGAGTGGTTTCTGTTCGTCTTTACAATACTGTCAAGTAAGACAGCAAGAAGAATCAAGACTTGACGCGGCGCAAATCAATCGATAGCGCAGCTTTGATTGCAAATTGTCTACACATCGTCAGATAAGTACAACAAAACAGGGACTACCAACCGAAAATGTGCTGAAAAAAGTGTTACTCAAGGTCAGCTGGTGACGCAGTTGAACTGCGAAGTGCACATTTGGGAATGTGCTGGTGCTGACTGGTTTTGTCATCGTAACATGATCACGCCGGAGAGACATGGCATCGATCCACGTGCCTCCCGTTCGAGAAGCGAGCGCTCGACAACCAGAGCCTCATGCTCACGTGTTATCACTGTCAACACACTATTAACATACCGATCCGGCATGCATAGACTGAATCACAACAACGGCCACAACAATACGTCGTTCTTGACTTTGCTATCACGACATTCCAATCAGTGATGGCACAACCACAAACGCACAACGCTTTTTACATACGCTACAAGAGCACAAAACAACTCGTCAGAATATTCGGATCCATTTCATATGTACCACTCAGTGCACTGGCATGCAAAATCATCAACTCAATATTGGACACTGCTGAATACGAGCTTGCCACTAACATCTGGGATGAAGAATCATCCGATCTTGCAACCTAGCGACAATTATCTGTCTGTACAATCGCAACAAAGGTTGAGCTGCTCGTAACCGCCTCACCTGGCTGCAGCAACTCTTACGCAGCATATGTTCGATTCGAAAACACACGTCGGAATTCATCCAGACGGTAGTGCGCGCTCCGGGCTTGTAAATCAAATAGATAGATGCGCCTCATCAGTCATGTACAGAGCCGAGTGGTTTCTGTTCGTCTTTACAATACTGTCAAGTAAGACAGCAAGAAGAATCAAGACTTGACGCGGCGCAAATCAATCGATAGCGCAGCTTTGATTGCAAATTGTCTACACATCGTCAGATAAGTACAACAAAACAGGGACTACCAACCGAAGATGTGCTGAAAAAAGTGTTACTCAAGGTCAGCTGGTGACGCAGTTGAACTGCGAAGTGCACATTTGGGAATGTGCTGGTGCTGACTGGTTTTGTCATCGTAACATGATCACGCCGGAGAGACATGGCATCGATCCACGTGCCTCCCGTTCGAGAAGCGAGCGCTCGACAACCAGAGCCTCATGCTCACGTGTTACCACTGTCAACACACTATTAACATACCGATCCGGCATGCATAGACCGAATCACAACAACGGCCACAACAATACGTCGTTCTTGACTTTGCTATCACGACATTCCAATCAGTGATGGCACAACCACAAACGCACAACGCTTTTTACATACGCTACAAGAGCACAAAACAACTCGTCAGAATATTCGGATCCATTTCATATGTACCACTCAGTGCACTGGCATGCAAAATCATCAACTCAATATTGGACACTGCTGAATACGAGCTTGCCACTAACATCTGGGATGAAGAATCATCCGATCTTGCAACCTAGCGACAATTATCTGTCTGTACAATCGCACCAAAGGTTGAGCTGCTCGTAACCGCCTCACCTGGCTGCAGCAACTCTTACGCAGCATATGTTCGATTCGAAAACACACGTCGGAATTCATCCAGACGGTAGTGCGCGCTCCGGGCTTGTAAAGTAAATAGATAGATGCGCCTCATCAGTCATGTACAGAGCCGAGTGGTTTCTGTTCGTCTTTACAATACTGTCAAGTAAGACAGCAAGAAGAATCAAGACTTGACGCGGCGCAAATCAATCGATAGCGCAGCTTTGATTGCAAATTGTCTACACATCGTCAGATAAGTACAACAAAACAGGGACTACCAACCGAAATGTGCTGAAAAAAGTGTTACTCAAGGTCAGCTGGTGACGCAGTTGAACTGCGAAGTGCACATTTGGGAATGTGCTGGTGCTGACTGGTTTTGTCATCGTAACATGATCACGCCGGAGATGACATGGCATCGATCCACGTGCCTCCCGTTCGAGAAGCGAGCGCTCGACAACCAGAGCCTCATGCTCACGTGTTATCACTGTCAACACACTATTAACATACCGATCCGGCATGCATAGACCGAATCACAACAACGGCCACAACAATACGTCGTTCTTGACTTTGCTATCACGACATTCCAATCAGTGATGGCACAACCACAAACGCACAACGCTTTTTACATACGCTACAAGAGCACAAAACAACTCGTCAGAATATTCGGATCCATTTCATATGTACCACTCAGTGCACTGGCATGCAAAATCATCAACTCAATATTGGACACTGCTGAATACGAGCTTGCCACTAACATCTGGGATGAAGAATCATCCGATCTTGCAACCTAGCGACAATTATCTGTCTGTACAATCGCACCAAAGGTTGAGCTGCTCGTAACCGCCTCACCTGGCTGCAGCAACTCTTACGCAGCATATGTTCGATTCGAAAACACACGTCGGAATTCATCCAGACGGTAGTGCGCGCTCCGGGCTTGTAAAGTCAAATAGATAGATGCGCCTCATCAGTCATGTACAGAGCCGAGTGGTTTCTGTTCGTCTTTACAATACTGTCAAGTAAGACAGCAAGAAGAATCAAGACTTGACGCGGCGCAAATCAATCGATAGCGCAGCTTTGATTGCAAATTGTCTACACATCGTCAGATAAGTACAACAAAACAGGGACTACCAACCGAAGATGTGCTGAAAAAGTGTTACTCAAGGTCAGCTGGTGACGCAGTTGAACTGCGAAGTGCACATTTGGGAATGTGCTGGTGCTGACTGGTTTTGTCATCGTAACATGATCACGCCGGAGAGACATGGCATCGATCCACGTGCCTCCCGTTCGAGAAGCGAGCGCTCGACAACCAGAGCCTCATGCTCACGTGTTATCACTGTCAACACACTATTAACATACCGATCCGGCATGCATAGACCGAATCACAACAACGGCCACAACAATACGTCGTTCTTGACTTTGCTATCACGACATTCCAATCAGTGATGGCACAACCACAAACGCACAACGCTTTTTACATACGCTACAAGAGCACAAAACAACTCGTCAGAATATTCGGATCCATTTCATATGTACCACTCAGTGCACTGGCATGCAAAATCATCAACTCAATATTGGACACTGCTGAATACGAGCTTGCCACTAACATCTGGGATGAAGAATCATCCGATCTTGCAACCTAGCGACAATTATCTGTCTGTACAATCGCACCAAAGGTTGAGCTGCTCGTAACCGCCTCACCTGGCTGCAGCAACTCTTACGCAGCATATGTTCGATTCGAAAACACACGTCGGAATTCATCCAGACGGTAGTGCGCGCTCCGGGCTTGTAAAGTAAATAGATAGATGCGCCTCATCAGTCATGTACAGAGCCGAGTGGTTTCTGTTCGTCTTTACAATACTGTCAAGTAAGACAGCAAGAAGAATCAAGACTTGACGCGGCGCAAATCAATCGATAGCGCAGCTTTGATTGCAAATTGTCTACACATCGTCAGATAAGTACAACAAAACAGGGACTACCAACCGAAGATGTGCTGAAAAAAGTGTTACTCAAGGTCAGCTGGTGACGCAGTTGAACTGCGAAGTGCACATTTGGGAATGTGCTGGTGCTGACTGGTTTTGTCATCGTAACATGATCACGCCGGAGAGACATGGCATCGATCCACGTGCCTCCCGTTCGAGAAGCGAGCGCTCGACAACCAGAGCCTCATGCTCACGTGTTACCACTGTCAACACACTATTAACATACCGATCCGGCATGCATAGACCGAATCACAACAACGGCCACAACAATACGTCGTTCTTGACTTTGCTATCACGACATTCCAATCAGTGATGGCACAACCACAAACGCACAACGCTTTTTACATACGCTACAAGAGCACAAAACAACTCGTCAGAATATTCGGATCCATTTCATATGTACCACTCAGTGCACTGGCATGCAAAATCATCAACTCAATATTGGACACTGCTGAATACGAGCTTGCCACTAACATCTGGGATGAAGAATCATCCGATCTTGCAACCTAGCGACAATTATCTGTCTGTACAATCGCACCAAAGGTTGAGCTGCTCGTAACCGCCTCACCTGGCTGCAGCAACTCTTACGCAGCATATGTTCGATTCGAAAACACACGTCGGAATTCATCCAGACGGTAGTGCGCGCTCCGGGCTTGTAAAGTCAAATAGATAGATGCGCCTCATCAGTCATGTACAGAGCCGAGTGGTTTCTGTTCGTCTTTACAATACTGTCAAGTAAGACAGCAAGAAGAATCAAGACTTGACGCGGCGCAAATCAATCGATAGCGCAGCTTTGATTGCAAATTGTCTACACATCGTCAGATAAGTACAACAAAACAGGGACTACCAACCGAAGATGTGCTGAAAAAAGTGTTACTCAAGGTCAGCTGGTGACGCAGTTGAACTGCGAAGTGCACATTTGGGAATGTGCTGGTGCTGACTGGTTTTGTCATCGTAACATGATCACGCCGGAGAGACATGGCATCGATCCACGTGCCTCCCGTTCGAGAAGCGAGCGCTCGACAACCAGAGCCTCATGCTCACGTGTTACCACTGTCAACACACTATTAACATACCGATCCGGCATGCATAGACCGAATCACAACAACGGCCACAACAATACGTCGTTCTTGACTTTGCTATCACGACATTCCAATCAGTGATGGCACAACCACAAACGCACAACGCTTTTTACATACGCTACAAGAGCACAAAACAACTCGTCAGAATATTCGGATCCATTTCATATGTACCACTCAGTGCACTGGCATGCAAAATCATCAACTCAATATTGGACACTGCTGAATACGAGCTTGCCACTAACATCTGGGATGAAGAATCATCCGATCTTGCAACCTAGCGACAATTATCTGTCTGTACAATCGCACCAAAGGTTGAGCTGCTCGTAACCGCCTCACCTGGCTGCAGCAACTCTTACGCAGCATATGTTCGATTCGAAAACACACGTCGGAATTCATCCAGACGGTAGTGCGCGCTCCGGGCTTGTAAAGTAAATAGATAGATGCGCCTCATCAGTCATGTACAGAGCCGAGTGGTTTCTGTTCGTCTTTACAATACTGTCAAGTAAGACAGCAAGAAGAATCAAGACTTGACGCGGCGCAAATCAATCGATAGCGCAGCTTTGATTGCAAATTGTCTACACATCGTCAGATAAGTACAACAAAACAGGGACTACCAACCGAAGATGTGCTGAAAAAGTGTTACTCAAGGTCAGCTGGTGACGCAGTTGAACTGCGAAGTGCACATTTGGGAATGTGCTGGTGCTGACTGGTTTTGTCATCGTAACATGATCACGCCGGAGAGACATGGCATCGATCCACGTGCCTCCCGTTCGAGAAGCGAGCGCTCGACAACCAGAGCCTCATGCTCACGTGTTACCACTGTCAACACACTATTAACATACCGATCCGGCATGCATAGACCGAATCACAACAACGGCCACAACAATACGTCGTTCTTGACTTTGCTATCACGACATTCCAATCAGTGATGGCACAACCACAAACGCACAACGCTTTTTACATACGCTACAAGAGCACAAAACAACTCGTCAGAATATTCGGATCCATTTCATATGTACCACTCAGTGCACTGGCATGCAAAATCATCAACTCAATATTGGACACTGCTGAATACGAGCTTGCCACTAACATCTGGGATGAAGAATCATCCGATCTTGCAACCTAGCGACAATTATCTGTCTGTACAATCGCACCAAAGGTTGAGCTGCTCGTAACCGCCTCACCTGGCTGCAGCAACTCTTACGCAGCATATGTTCGATTCGAAAACACACGTCGGAATTCATCCAGACGGTAGTGCGCGCTCCGGGCTTGTAAAGTAAATAGATAGATGCGCCTCATCAGTCATGTACAGAGCCGAGTGGTTTCTGTTCGTCTTTACAATACTGTCAAGTAAGACAGCAAGAAGAATCAAGACTTGACGCGGCGCAAATCAATCGATAGCGCAGCTTTGATTGCAAATTGTCTACACATCGTCAGATAAGTACAACAAAACAGGGACTACCAACCGAAGATGTGCTGAAAAAAGTGTTACTCAAGGTCAGCTGGTGACGCAGTTGAACTGCGAAGTGCACATTTGGGAATGTGCTGGTGCTGACTGGTTTTGTCATCGTAACATGATCACGCCGGAGAGACATGGCATCGATCCACGTGCCTCCCGTTCGAGAAGCGAGCGCTCGACAACCAGAGCCTCATGCTCACGTGTTACCACTGTCAACACACTATTAACATACCGATCCGGCATGCATAGACCGAATCACAACAACGGCCACAACAATACGTCGTTCTTGACTTTGCTATCACGACATTCCAATCAGTGATGGCACAACCACAAACGCACAACGCTTTTTACATACGCTACAAGAGCACAAAACAACTCGTCAGAATATTCGGATCCATTTCATATGTACCACTCAGTGCACTGGCATGCAAAATCATCAACTCAATATTGGACACTGCTGAATACGAGCTTGCCACTAACATCTGGGATGAAGAATCATCCGATCTTGCAACCTAGCGACAATTATCTGTCTGTACAATCGCACCAAAGGTTGAGCTGCTCGTAACCGCCTCACCTGGCTGCAGCAACTCTTACGCAGCATATGTTCGATTCGAAAACACACGTCGGAATTCATCCAGACGGTAGTGCGCGCTCCGGGCTTGTAAAGTAAATAGATAGATGCGCCTCATCAGTCATGTACAGAGCCGAGTGGTTTCTGTTCGTCTTTACAATACTGTCAAGTAAGACAGCAAGAAGAATCAAGACTTGACGCGGCGCAAATCAATCGATAGCGCAGCTTTGATTGCAAATTGTCTACACATCGTCAGATAAGTACAACAAAACAGGGACTACCAACCGAAAATGTGCTGAAAAAAGTGTTACTCAAGGTCAGCTGGTGACGCAGTTGAACTGCGAAGTGCACATTTGGGAATGTGCTGGTGCTGACTGGTTTTGTCATCGTAACATGATCACGCCGGAGAGGCATGGCATCGATCCACGTGCCTCCCGTTCGAGAAGCGAGCGCTCGACAACCAGAGCCTCATGCTCACGTGTTACCACTGTCAACACACTATTAACATACCGATCCGGCATGCATAGACCGAATCACAACAACGGCCACAACAATACGTCGTTCTTGACTTTGCTATCACGACATTCCAATCAGTGATGGCACAACCACAAACGCACAACGCTTTTGACATACGCTACAAGAGCACAAAACAACTCGTCAGAATATTCGGATCCATTTCATATGTACCACTCAGTGCACTGGCATGCAAAATCATCAACTCAATATTGGACACTGCTGAATACGAGCTTGCCACTAACATCTGGGATGAAGAATCATCCGATCTTGCAACCTAGCGACAATTATCTGTCTGTACAATCGCACCAAAGGTTGAGCTGCTCGTAACCGCCTCACCTGGCTGCAGCAACTCTTACGCAGCATATGTTCGATTCGAAAACACACGTCGGAATTCATCCAGACGGTAGTGCGCGCTCCGGGCTTGTAAAGTAAATAGATAGATGCGCCTCATCAGTCATGTACAGAGCCGAGTGGTTTCTGTTCGTCTTTACAATACTGTCAAGTAAGACAGCAAGAAGAATCAAGACTTGACGCGGCGCAAATCAATCGATAGCGCAGCTTTGATTGCAAATTGTCTACACATCGTCAGATAAGTACAACAAAACAGGGACTACCAACCGAAGATGTGCTGAAAAAAGTGTTACTCAAGGTCAGCTGGTGACGCAGTTGAACTGCGAAGTGCACATTTGGGAATGTGCTGGTGCTGACTGGTTTTGTCATCGTAACATGATCACGCCGGAGATGCATGGCATCGATCCACGTGCCTCCCGTTCGAGAAGCGAGCGCTCGACAACCAGAGCCTCATGCTCACGTGTTATCACTGTCAACACACTATTAACATACCGATCCGGCATGCATAGACCGAATCACAACAACGGCCACAACAATACGTCGTTCTTGACTTTGCTATCACGACATTCCAATCAGTGATGGCACAACCACAAACGCACAACGCTTTTTACATACGCTACAAGAGCACAAAACAACTCGTCAGAATATTCGGATCCATTTCATATGTACCACTCAGTGCACTGGCATGCAAAATCATCAACTCAATATTGGACACTGCTGAATACGAGCTTGCCACTAACATCTGGGATGAAGAATCATCCGATCTTGCAACCTAGCGACAATTATCTGTCTGTACAATCGCACCAAAGGTTGAGCTGCTCGTAACCGCCTCACCTGGCTGCAGCAACTCTTACGCAGCATATGTTCGATTCGAAAACACACGTCGGAATTCATCCAGACGGTAGTGCGCGCTCCGGGCTTGTAAAGTAAATAGATAGATGCGCCTCATCAGTCATGTACAGAGCCGAGTGGTTTCTGTTCGTCTTTACAATACTGTCAAGTAAGACAGCAAGAAGAATCAAGACTTGACGCGGCGCAAATCAATCGATAGCGCAGCTTTGATTGCAAATTGTCTACACATCGTCAGATAAGTACAACAAAACAGGGACTACCAACCGAAAATGTGCTGAAAAAGTGTTACTCAAGGTCAGCTGGTGACGCAGTTGAACTGCGAAGTGCACATTTGGGAATGTGCTGGTGCTGACTGGTTTTGTCATCGTAACATGATCACGCCGGAGAGACATGGCATCGATCCACGTGCCTCCCGTTCGAGAAGCGAGCGCTCGACAACCAGAGCCTCATGCTCACGTGTTATCACTGTCAACACACTATTAACATACCGATCCGGCATGCATAGACCGAATCACAACAACGGCCACAACAATACGTCGTTCTTGACTTTGCTATCACGACATTCCAATCAGTGATGGCACAACCACAAACGCACAACGCTTTTGACATACGCTACAAGAGCACAAAACAACTCGTCAGAATATTCGGATCCATTTCATATGTACCACTCAGTGCACTGGCATGCAAAATCATCAACTCAATATTGGACACTGCTGAATACGAGCTTGCCACTAACATCTGGGATGAAGAATCATCCGATCTTGCAACCTAGCGACAATTATCTGTCTGTACAATCGCACCAAAGGTTGAGCTGCTCGTAACCGCCTCACCTGGCTGCAGCAACTCTTACGCAGCATATGTTCGATTCGAAAACACACGTCGGAATTCATCCAGACGGTAGTGCGCGCCCCGGGCTTGTAAATCAAATAGATAGATGCGCCTCATCAGTCATGTACAGAGCCGAGTGGTTTCTGTTCGTCTTTACAATACTGTCAAGTAAGACAGCAAGAAGAATCAAGACTTGACGCGGCGCAAATCAATCGATAGCGCAGCTTTGATTGCAAATTGTCTACACTGTTAGCGAGTGATGATGCGGCGACTTGTGCAGGGTGTATATTGCATATTTGCATTAGTTGTATTGTTCTTTGGCAGGTTTATATTGTGGGATGTTAGCGAAACGACCAGTCATCGGATTGGCTCAGTCGTTTGGGAAAGGGGATTCCACGCGGGTGAGTGCTGGTTCGATCCCCGCCGTGTACAAGTTAATTGTGACTGACACTCACGACCTGGTGTTTGGGGTTCACCAGAACTGTGACCCGCCCGCAGTTACGTCCCCCACCCACGCAATCGTTTTCATTCAGCATATGACACAGCAGAGTTTTTACGAAAGGTATTTACGAGACGTAATTACCCAGTGATAGGTAAAACAGAAAGCGGTGGAGACAGGGCACGAAATAGGTGGCTGAGAGTCACCGGCTACTACTAGCCATTCGTTTTCGAAGCTAGGAACAATTTGAATACAACTCACTTTTCGGTTTTCATCCCCGGCCGTAAGCCATCTTCTTCTCAGCATCAGCTCCACAACCTAGTTAATTCTAACAGGTTATGAGCCCAAAGAACGACTCCGGTTTCAAGGTCGAGCCTTTCGACGGCTCGAACTATGGGTTGTGGAGTTACAAGATGAAGATGTACCTGATGTCGAAGGGGCTGTGGGGCGCGATCGCGGGCGATGAGACAACAAGTGAGGCCAAGGAACAGCAAGCCCACGCCGCGATCGTGCTGAATCTGAGCGATTCACAGTTGATGCATGTCATCGACTCGGCCACCGCAAGAGAAGCGTGGGGACGTCTGGCGCGATTTCATCACAGTCATGACATGGCGAATCGACTTTGGCTGAAGGAAAAGTTCGCGTCGTTCAAGTATGCAGCATCAAGCATGAGCGGTCATGTGATGGAGCTGGAGGACCTCGTGATGAAGATGAAGCGCGCGAACTGCGGTCCAAGTGAAGAGGACGTGTGCGCAGTACTGTTGCGGAGTCTACCTTCAAGCTTCGAGAGCTTGGTACAGGCATTCCGCATGTCCGTCGCAAGCTTCAGTTTCAGTGACCTCGTGAGCAAGTTGATCGCCGAAGAAGTGCGCCAGAATGAGGGAGCACGAGTAGAAGATGCAACGGCGCTCTACGCAGGCAAGAGGAAGGGTAAGCAGTACCCGAAGAAGCAACAAGGACGGCGCGCGAAAGGACCATCAGGGACCTGCTACAACTGTGGCAAGGTCGGACACTACGCCAGAGATTGTCGCTCCGGTCGAGGGCCAAGGGAGCAACAGCATGACCAGTCGAATGTCGCGTTTCATGCCAGCGAAGGTTTCGCGAGCAACAGCTGGGTCATGGACAGTGGCGCGTCAGCACACATGTGCAAGGATCGAGATGCGTTCGAAGAGTACGAAGAAGTGCATCATGCGCGAAGCATTTCAAGCGCAAAGAGCGACGTGAAGCTGAATGTCATTGGACATGGGACAGTGAAGCTGCGCGTCTGGACAGGACATGCGTGGATCGACGCTCGCCTTGAGAACACACTTCACGTTCAAGATTTGTCCAAGAACCTGTTTTCGCTCACGGCTGCGGCAGCGCGCGGCATGACAGTGGAGATAACGCGCAACGAGTGCGTGGTCAAGCGTGGCGGCACACCCGTCGCAACAGGAAGGAAGCAGGGGTTCCTCCTGTATCTCAATGCTGACTGTGGTACGGAGTGCCACATGGCCGAAGACGATACAGAGCTATGGCATAGAAGATTGGGTCACGTGTCGTATGGTACGCTGAATGCCATGGTCAAGGACGGAAGGATCAAGGGCGCAACGATGAAGACGAACGTTGCGTGTGACGTATGCGCAACGTCAAAGCAAGTGCGCAAGTCATTCAAGACAAGTGAAGAAGACGCTGAAACCAGGGAGAGTTCGCGTTCCGACGTGGTGGTGTGCTCCGACGTTCTCGGACCTATCACGCCAGCGTCCAAGTCTGGTTTCAGTTACGCCGTAACCTTCATCATGATGAAGAGCAGGTATGTAACGGTCTATCCGTTGCGAAAGAAGAGCGACGTTGCGAGTGCGTTCAAGCGGTTTTACCAAGATGTCAAGACAGCATCTGGAACGAAGATAAAGGTGTTGCGAAGTGACAACGGCGGCGAATACCGGAACGAAACGATGAACAGCTTTTGCAAGGCAAAGTTCATCAAGCAAGAGTTCACGGTTCCGTACAACCCAGAGCAGAACGGGATGGCGGAGCGGATGAACCGCACGCTGGTGGAGATGACGCGCTGTATGCTAAAGGAAAGCGGCCTCGACAAGTCCTATTGGTGCGAGGCACTAATGACAGCGGCAGACATCAGAAACATTCTGCCGAACGCGTCGAACAAGAGCTCAAGCCCACACGAGATGGTGTTCAAGAAGGTTCCGCGCATCGATCACATGCGCGTGTTTGGTGCGCAATGCTATGCGCATGTGGCGAAGGAGAAGAGAAAGAAGCTGGACGACTCAGGCGTGCGATGTTTCTTTCTCGGCTATGAGAAGGACCAAAAGGCGTATCGGCTTCTCAACGCGGACGATGGCTCGATCGTGATTTCAAGAAGCGTCACGTTCGCTGAGCATTCTGTCTCGAAAGCATCAAAAAGCAGAGACACGCGGGTGTTCGATGTCATTGAAGAAGAGGAAAGTGTGGAGGCGTCGTTACCCGATGATGAAGACATACCAGCGCCGGTGACCGAAGAAGAGCTGCGCACCCCACCACTTCGAGCGCAGAACAGCTCTCATCACGGACCAAGTGTTCGACCAAGCGACACCATTCCTACGCGCGCATCCAGCACACCCGGAAGAAATGGAGAAGAAGAGTGGATGGTGCGACCGGTTCGAAAGAAGCGCGGCGTGGTTCGCTACGATCAAGAATTTCCAAGCCATCGTCGCGGTCACTTCAATTTGGACGACTACGAAGGTGACTTCGACTCTTTCTACTGTTTCTCGGCTGAAGAAGATGGGGAACAAGCGTCCAGCTATCAAGAAGTGATGAAGAGCGGCTACAAGGAGCAGTGGCTCCAGGCAATGAAGAGCGAGATGAAGTCGCTTGAAGAACACAGCACATGGAAGCTAGTGAAAATGCCACCGGGCAAGAAGGCCGTAGGCTGCAAGTGGGTCTTCAAGATTAAACGCGATCCAAGTGGCGAGATCATCAAGTTCAAGGCACGCTTGGTTGCGAAAGGGTTCACGCAGCGTCCTGGCATCGACTACAACGAGACCTTTGCACCAGTGGCGCGCAAGGAATCTATCAACACAGTGTTGGCGATCGCTGCAGCTGAAGACCTGGAAGCAGAGAACGTTGATGTCGACACAGCGTTTCTCTACGGCGAAGTGGAAGAGGAGATCTACATGGACCAACCTGACGGTTTTGAAGATGAAGGAAGCCCGAATAAGAAGTGTTTGCTGCAGAAGGCGCTATACGGGACGAAGCAAGCGGCGCGGCAGTGGAACAACAAGTTGAGTCAGCACTTGGTTGATCAAGGATTCAAGAGCAGTACAGCGGACCCGTGTGTGTTCGTTCGAGTGACAAGAGAGGAGTACAGCATCATCGTGATCTACGTGGACGACTTGATGATTTTCTGCAAGACGAAGGAGCACATCGCAAGTATCAAGAACTCATTGATGGAAGATTTCAGCATTAAAGATCTTGGAGATCTCAAGTACTGCCTCGGGATCGAGATTCATCGCAAGCGCGAAGATGGAACGATCAAGATGAACCAGAAGGCGTACATCAAGCGACTTTCGGAGAAGTTCGGCGTTGAGAACTGCAAGGACATGCACACGCCGGCGGACAGTAATTCGAAGCTGATCAAGATGGGTCAAGAGGAAGCGTTTGTACCAAAGTACCCATACCGTGAGCTGGTGGGCGCTTTAATGTACATCGCCACATGTACACGACCGGACATTGCGCATGCGGTTGGCGAAGTTGCGAAGTTTTGCGAGCGCTACGACAAGTCGCATTGGACAGCAGCAAAGCGGATTCTCAAGTATCTCAAGACGACTCAAGACTTAAGCATCGTGTTCAGCGGCATCAACAAGGGAGAGCTTATTGGATTTGCAGATGCAAACTGGGCTGGCGACCTCGACACGCGGCGTTCGACAACAGGATACGTTTTCTTCCTGAACGGAAGCGTGATATCGTGGAATTCGAAGCGTCAACCAACGGTCGCGACCTCAAGTACGGAAGCAGAGTACATGAGTCTGTACAGCGCGACGCAGGAAGCAATTTGGCTTCGAGGTCTGCTCAAGGACCTGAACTACTGTGCCAAGAACGCGACGACGATTTTTCAAGACAATCAAGGATGCATCGCGCTGGCCAAGAATCCTGTGTACCACTCGCGCACGAAGCACATCGACATCAAGTTTCACTTTTTGCGTGAAAAGGTTGCAAGTGCAGTTATCGCGCTAGAGTTCAAGCCGACAGAAGAAATGGTCGCGGATGGATTCACCAAAGCACTTCCAAGAGACAAGCACAGCAAGTTCATCACGGGTTTGTGCATGGCGGTGTAGGGTCACACGTCGCACGCACATCAAGGGAGAGTGTTAGCGAGTGATGATGCGGCGACTTGTGCAGGGTGTATATTGCATATTTGCATTAGTTGTATTGTTCTTTGGCAGGTTTATATTGTGGGATGTTAGCGAAACGACAAGTCATCGGATTGGCTCAGTCGTTTGGGAAGGGGGATTCCACGCGGGTGAGTGCGGGTTCGATCCCCGCCGTGTACAAGTTAATTGTGACTGACACTCACGACCTGGTGTTTGGGGTTCACCAGAACTGTGACCCGCCCGCAGTTACGTCCCCCACCCACGCAATCGTTTTCATTCAGCATATGACACAGCAGAGTTTTTACGAAAGGTATTTACGAGACGTAATTACCCAGTGATAGGTAAAACAGAAAGCGGTGGAGACAGGGCACGAAATAGGTGGCTGAGAGTCACCGGCTACTACTAGCCATTCGTTTTCGAAGCTAGGAACAATTTGAATACAACTCACTTTTCGGTTTTCATCCCCGGCCGTAAGCCATCTTCTTCTCAGCATCAGCTCCACAACCTAGTTAATTCTAACAGGTTATGAGCCCAAAGAACGACTCCGGTTTCAAGGTCGAGCCTTTCGACGGCTCGAACTATGGGTTGTGGAGTTACAAGATGAAGATGTACCTGATGTCGAAGGGGCTGTGGGGCGCGATCGCGGGCGATGAGACAACAAGTGAGGCCAAGGAACAGCAAGCCCACGCCGCGATCGTGCTGAATCTGAGCGATTCACAGTTGATGCATGTCATCGACTCGGCCACCGCAAGAGAAGCGTGGGGACGTCTGGCGCGATTTCATCACAGTCATGACATGGCGAATCGACTTTGGCTGAAGGAAAAGTTCGCGTCGTTCAAGTATGCAGCATCAAGCATGAGCGGTCATGTGATGGAGCTGGAGGACCTCGTGATGAAGATGAAGCGCGCGAACTGCGGTCCAAGTGAAGAGGACGTGTGCGCAGTACTGTTGCGGAGTCTACCTTCAAGCTTCGAGAGCTTGGTACAGGCATTCCGCATGTCCGTCGCAAGCTTCAGTTTCAGTGACCTCGTGAGCAAGTTGATCGCCGAAGAAGTGCGCCAGAATGAGGGAGCACGAGTAGAAGATGCAACGGCGCTCTACGCAGGCAAGAGGAAGGGTAAGCAGTACCCGAAGAAGCAACAAGGACGGCGCGCGAAAGGACCATCAGGGACCTGCTACAACTGTGGCAAGGTCGGACACTACGCCAGAGATTGTCGCTCCGGTCGAGGGCCAAGGGAGCAACAGCATGACCAGTCGAATGTCGCGTTTCATGCCAGCGAAGGTTTCGCGAGCAACAGCTGGGTCATGGACAGTGGCGCGTCAGCACACATGTGCAAGGATCGAGATGCGTTCGAAGAGTACGAAGAAGTGCATCATGCGCGAAGCATTTCAAGCGCAAAGAGCGACGTGAAGCTGAATGTCATTGGACATGGGACAGTGAAGCTGCGCGTCTGGACAGGACATGCGTGGATCGACGCTCGCCTTGAGAACACACTTCACGTTCAAGATTTGTCCAAGAACCTGTTTTCGCTCACGGCTGCGGCAGCGCGCGGCATGACAGTGGAGATAACGCGCAACGAGTGCGTGGTCAAGCGTGGCGGCACACCCGTCGCAACAGGAAGGAAGCAGGGGTTCCTCCTGTATCTCAATGCTGACTATGGTACGGAGTGCCACATGGCCGAAGACGATACAGAGCTATGGCATAGAAGACTGGGTCACGTGTCGTATGGTACGCTGAATGCCATGGTCAAGGACGGAAGGATCAAGGGCGCAACGATGAAGACGAACGTTGCGTGTGACGTATGCGCAACGTCAAAGCAAGTGCGCAAGTCATTCAAGACAAGTGAAGAAGACGCTGAAACCAGGGAGAGTTCGCGTTCCGACGTGGTGGTGTGCTCCGACGTTCTCGGTCCTATCACGCCAGCGTCCAAGTCTGGTTTCAGTTACGCCGTAACCTTCATCATGATGAAGAGCAGGTATGTAACGGTCTATCCGTTGCGAAAGAAGAGCGACGTTGCGAGTGCGTTCAAGCGGTTTTACCAAGATGTCAAGACAGCATCTGGAACGAAGATAAAGGTGTTGCGAAGTGACAACGGCGGCGAATACCGGAACGCAACGATGAACAGCTTTTGCAAGGCAAAGTTCATCAAGCAAGAGTTCACGGTTCCGTACAACCCAGAGCAGAACGGGATGGCGGAGCGGATGAACCGCACGCTGGTGGAGATGACGCGCTGTATGCTAAAGGAAAGCGGCCTCGACAAGTCCTATTGGTGCGGAGGCACTAATGACAGCGGCAGACATCAGAAACATTCTGCCGAACGCGTCGAACAAGAACTCAAGCCCACACGAGATGGTGTTCAAGAAGGTTCCGCGCATCGATCACATGCGCGTGTTTGGTGCGCAATGCTATGCGCATGTGGCGAAGGAGAAGAGAAAGAAGCTGGACGACTCAGGCGTGCGATGTTTCTTTCTCGGCTATGAGAAGGACCAAAAAGGCGTATCGGCTTCCTCAACGCGGACGATGGCTCGATCGTGATTTCAAGAAGCGTCACGTTCGCTGAGCATTCTGTCTCGAAAGCATCAAAAAGCAGAGACACGCGGGTGTTCGATGTCATTGAAGAAGAGGAGTGTGGAGGCGTCGTTACCCGATGATGAAGACATACCAGCGCCGGTGACCGAAGAAGAGCTGCGCACCCCCACCACTTCGAGCGCAGAACAGCTCTCATCACGGACCAAGTGTTCGACCAAGCGACACCATTCCTACGCGCGCATCCAGCACACCCGGAAGAAATGGAGAAGAAGAGTGGATGGTGCGACCGGTTCCGAAAGAAGCGCGGCGTGGTTCGCTACGATCAAAAATTTCCAAGCCATCGTCGCGGTCACTTCAATTTGGACGACTACGAAGGTGACTTCGACTCTTTCTACTGTTTCTCGGCTGAAGAAGATGGGGAACAAGCGTCCAGCTATCAAGAAGTGATGAAGAGCGGCTACAAGGAGCAGTGGCTCCAGGCAATGAAGAGCGAGATGAAGTCGCTTGAAGAACACAGCACATGGAAGCTAGTGAAAATGCCACCGGGCAAGAGGCCGTAGGCTGCAAGTGGGTCTTCAAGATTAAAACGCGATCCAAGTGGCGAGATAATCAAGTTCAAGGCACGCTTGGTTGCGAAAGGGTTCACGCAGCGTCCTGGCATCGACTATAACGAGACCTTTGCACCAGTGGCGCGCAAGGAATCTATCAACACAGTGTTGGCGATCGCTGCAGCTGAAGACCTGGAAGCAGGGGAACGTTGATGTCGACACAGCGTTTCTCAACGGCGGGGAAGTGGAAGAGGAGATCTACATGGACCAACCTGACGGTTTTGAAGATGAAGGAAGCCCGAATAAGAACGTGTTTGCTGCAGAAGGCGCTATACGGGACGAAGGCCAAACGGCGCGGCAGTGGAACTAACAAGTTGAGTC